ACAGTATTTTTAGTTCACAGTATTTTTTCTGTAAAGCCGTGATTGTTTTATCATCATCCTCACCATCACCATCCTCCCCATTACCATCACCAATCTTTCTGATGAGGTTGTATAATGAATGATAACCATGTGCTAGATACTAAGCTAAGTTATGCTATGCTAAGTCGCTTCAGTCATGTCCGACTCTGTGCGACCCCATGGACAGCAGCCCACCAGGCTCCACTGTCCACAGGATTCTCCAGGCAAGAATACTGGACTGGGTTGCCATTTCCTTCTCCATGGAGCTAAGTTATGGTTCTATCTAATTCTTCTGATAATGAGTTTAATTGCATGATTACTGTCCCCATATTACAGATGAGAAAACTGAGGCATGGGGGAAGTGAAAGTGAAGTCACTCAGTCATGTCCGACTCTTTGCAACCCCGTGGATTGTAGCCTACGAGGCTTCTCCGTCCATGAGATTCTCCAGGCAAGAATACTGGAGTGGGTTACCATTTCCTTCTCCAGGGGATCTTCCCGACCCAGGGATAGAACCCAGGTCTCCCGCATTGGAGGCAGATGCTTTAACCTCTGATCCACCAGGGAAGCCCGAGGCATGAGGGAAAACTCACCCAAATCACACATCCATTAAGTAGCAGAGCTGAGGCACCAGCCCAGGCAGCCTGCCTCCAGATCCTATGGTTCTAAGCACACTGCTTTATTTATTCCTTGAGAGTCTACCTGCAGGAACATGGAGGTGATGTCAAGGCTGTCACAGACACAGAACACATGGCAAAATGTACAAGTTGGGGATCTCCCTGGTGGTACTACACATAAGAATCTGCCTGCCAATGCAGGGGGACACAGGTTCGATCCATGGGCTGGGAAGATCCCATATGCTTTGGAGCAACTAAGCCCGCCCATCACAACTACTGAGCCTGCTCGCCCTAAAGCCTATGGTGCACAACAAGAAAAGACACTGCAGTCAGAAAGAAGCTCTCACGGTATAGCACGGAGGAGCCACTGCTTCCGCAACTCGGGAAAACCCACACGCAGCGACCAAGACCCAGCACAGCCAAGAATAGAATTTTTTTAAACTTTAAAAAAATGTACCAGTAGGAAAGCCATTGACTTGACTGGCCCCATACGGTCCTGGAGTGGCCCTTGTGGAGGCCGAGGACAGCCCACACAGGGATGTCAGTCTGAGGGACTTTTTGGAGAGAATAGGTTTGAGGAGCTGCAGGAGGATGAAGGACAAGAGGACCGAGGCACTGCATGGCCTGTGACCAGCTGAGGGACAGGATGCACAGCCTCAAGGCCATGGCTCTTGCAGACTCAGCCCTGTACCCCAAAGGCACCCCAAGGCACATCCACACCTCCCCAGCACCCCAAAGGCAGCTCTGTCCCCACCACGTGATTGGATGCCAGACGCTGTATCCTTCCCGGGAGGAAATGCATCTCGGAGCCTGGCCTCCCATCACAGGATACACTGCTGCTTCTCTAGGCTGTGAGTGGAACGCCACAGACCTTGTCCTCCTCCACCTCAGCCATTCCCAGCTCCTTGGTCCTCTGTAAATCATCAATCCCATGGAGCCAAGTTCTGCTTCCCACTTTTTAAGTCTGAGGGCATTTATCCCTGCTGATAAACTGGATTTAGACAGCTTCACAAACCCCCGACTGTGGCCAAAATTATGAAGGTGAACTATTCCTGGAGCCCCATCCTGTCGAGGAGAAGAATGTACAGTACAGACGCAAACTGGCACTTTTCCCACCCATCTCTGTCCAAGGGAGAATTACTTCTGTCGGGGACTGGAGCAGGACTTGGGGGTTAGCTGGAGTCATAAATCAGGATTATTACATCGGTGCTTCCCACCAAACTCCCAGAAAAGGAAGGCAGCCCTGCAGGCCTCTGTCATAGCCTGCAGCTTCACCAAAACAAATAAAGCCCTGGGACCAAACCCCACTGCCATCCCCGCCAGCACACAGCCAGACAGAGATCATGAAAACAGCCCTGCTCCTCACCAATTCTGCAAAGACGCAGGGGGATAGCTAGGATCCCATGGGCCTTTGTACAAATCGGGGGTGGGAAGGGGGTGGGTGACCATGGGAAGGACCAGGGCCACGGTCCAGAGTCCAGGCCACCCAACAGCATCTGTCATCTCTTCCTTCCTTCCTCTTTTCCTTTCTTCCTTCCTTCCCTCCTTGCTTCATTATTCCTTTCCTTTCTTTATTTCCTTCTTCTTCTCTTTTGTAGGATTCTATCAAATCTCGCTGTGTGCTCTGGGTCCAACACCAGGAAATGGTCTTCGTCGCTGGGATGTAGACAAATACTGAGAAACAACAGCGGTGGGGTTCGTGGGGACAGGAGGGGAGCGTGACCGTCAATGCCTTCCGCTGCTCGGAGCTGCACGCAAACCCCTGGCAAACCTGGGCCACGGGGGTGGGGTCTGCCCAATGCCACTCCGGGACCCACAGGGTTAGAGAGAAGCAAATGCAAGCGCGGGGCTCTGACTCCCAGGCCCGCACACCCCAGAGGCCACGCGCACTCGGGGAGCATCCCCTCTCAACACTGCTTCTCTGCCCTGCAGTCTCCTCACACGGGGGGGAAGCCCTCAAGGCTGACGGAGGGCAGGGGGAGGGGCCAGATGGGATCCAGGGCCTCCTAAGTCGTGTGTGTGCTCCTTGGCAACCCCTCCATGCCCATCTTAGTGACAGTGCCACCAGCTCCCAGAGCAAGATGCAGGCAGGTCCGCCTGACCGCGAGTGGGTCTCAGACGAAGGGAGAGCAAGAGCGGCACGCGGAGCGGAGCACGCATCTTGTAACCAGGCAACGAGCCGTCCCATCCCTCTGCAAGTACCAGCCGTGTGGGCTCGAGCAAGGCACCTGCTCCGCCTTAGAACCAGTCTCCTCCGCTGTGGAAAGGGGACAGGACGCCCCCAGCAGGGTCGACAGGTGCTGCCCTCGCTGCTCCTAGAGTCTGGACGGGAAAACCAGCCCCTTCCCCAGCCCTCAGCTGGGCTACTCTGCGACTTCTTGACCTTCGGAGCGTTTGATTTTTTTTAATCTTATTTTATATTAGAATATAGTTGATTAACAATATTGTGATAGTTTCTGGTGTACAGCTAGGTGATTCAGTTATACATATATATATATGTGTGTGTGTGTATATATATATATATATTTGCATCTTTTTTTTCCAAGTTCTTTTTCCATTTAGATTACTACAGAATATTGAGCAGAGTTCCCTGTTCCCTAAGCTCTACAGTAGGTCCTTGTTATCCATTCCAAATATAGCAGAGTGTACATGTCAACCTGACTTCACTTCCTCCTTGTAAGACTTGGGTGTTGTCACTTCCCAAAACCCTGTATAAGTCCTAAAAAGCGAACGAACTCCAGACTCGGCCTGGCAACCCCAGCTCAGCCGCCGGCTCCTGGCTCCTGCCCCATCTCCTCCAGCCTCTTGGATGCCTTCAGCATCGCTGCCCTCCTCCCCACACCCCTACACACGGGCCAGGCCTTCCCTCCGAGAACACTGCCCCTGCCGGTCCTGAGAAGATGGGATGGGAAAATATGCTGCCATCTGCCTCACAGAGATTGTTCCAGTAGGAAAAGTAACATGTTCCTATATGCAAATGGTATTGCATTCTGACTACAAGGATGTATCACAGAAAATGCATTCAGTCCGCTGTGTTTTGTAATGACCTTTTGGATGGCTCATATGTTCAGTGTACCCTTCTAGCTATAGGATCCATTTCGCAATTACTGAAAATGCTTTCACAGTTCACCTCCCAGTCAGGCCTTCACCCTACTTCCACAGAAATAACTGTTAACAGTTTTTGTGTACTCTTCTGGAAATTTCCTCTTCCTTCATAAACACACCTGCTCAATCGTACACAAATGAACATATATTGTAACACTCCATTCTTTGCCAGGCTTAATGTCTTACTTAACATTACTTAACAAACATTTTGGAGATTGTTTTCATAACAACACATGGGGAGCTACCATATTCTTTTTTAATCAATTTTAGCTGCGTATAGTTGTTTTGCAATGTTGTGTCAATTTCCGCTGTACAGCAAAGTGAATCAGCAACATGCGTACATATATCTCCTCCCTTTTGGATTTCTGTCCTATTCACGTCACCACAGAGTACTGAATAGAGCTCCCTGTGCTGTAGGTTCTCATCAGTTATCTGCTTCATACATAGTATATATATGTCAGTCCCAATCTCCCAATTCCTCCCACCCCTCCATCTCACCTTGGGGTCCAAACATTTGTTCTCTATGTTTGTGTCTCTATTTCTGCTTTGCAAATAAGATCATCTGTACAATTTTTCTAGGTTCCACATGTATTATTTTTGATGGCTGCACAGAATTCCAAGACTTGCATGTCCCATAACTCACAATCTGGTCTCAGGGATGAATGCCTGGGGTGTCTTCCGTCTTTTGCCACAGTTAACATGGTGATAGTCGATCTCTTGTTCACGCCCATCTGCCCACATATGTCAGTGTGTTTGCAGCATAAATTCCTAGAATTTTGAAAGCTGAGAGTGTCGGGTTGCTTCCCAGGATGTTATACACACTTATGCTCCATTTATGCTGTCATCAGTGGGCTGCGGCTTGTTCCCCGACTCTACCAACGTTTGCTACCATGACATTTTGCGTCAAAGCAATGCATGCGAAAGTCTTAGAAACAGTGATGCTCCATGGAGATCCGAAGTTCCATGGAGATCCGAAATGGCACTCCACTTGCCACCTCTTCTGAGAAGCTGTTCGTGATTCCTCCTTTTCTCCATCATGAAGGCCTCCCTCCCCTGACACCACACAGTACCGTGTCTGCTCCTTCTCAGTTCTGCCTCCTACAGCGAAATTTACACTCTGGCACAAAATAAAAACTTGCAAGGTTCAATTTGGATCCTACCGACTCAAGTTTCTCAGCTTCTGGCTAAGGCTGGCGGTGCTGGGCAGGGGTGAGTCTGGGATTATCCAAAGACATCCTTTCAACTCTCGACATCCTCTCTGATGGCAGGGGGAGGCCAGGTGGTGACAGTGCTTGGCAGTACTGCCCAGAACAGTACAGCCAGGGCCAGTCTTCCTGGGATGCTCGGAGACCACGTCAGACAGACCAGAAGTGCCCACAGCCCTCCAGTCACAGCCCCCACCTCCCACTGCCCTGACTGTGGGGCTCCCCAGCTTGGGGATCTGCTCCTGGAGGAGTTAGGTCACCCAGAAGAAGAAGGGAAAACTGAGAGCCCACGACCTGGGGGCATGAGTGTGCAGCATAGACGTCGCTGGCTGGACGACATTCCTGTCACTTGGTTTCTCTTCCTCCGCCCTCCATCCTCTGACTCCTCACAGGTTCCTCCTGTCTGTCCGCACTCTCTCAGCATCACTTCCTGTCTTTGTGTTTTTCTCCTTTTTTCTCTTTCTCCCGCTGCCCCCCTCTTTGTCTCCCTGCTACTCCATCATTTTCTGACTTTCTGAGCTTTGGGAATAACTGTGTTCTAGAGCCAAGGCGAGGCCTTGTAAACCCTCACGTGGGAAACGTCAGCCTCTTGCTGAGGGGTTGACATTTACTAAGAGAGCAGCTGGGATGCTGGGACTCAGAGCAGCCTCTGAGCAGCCTCTGAGCATCTCTTCCCGGTACCTTCCCACCCTCCCCGACCCCCTACTCTCCCTGCACACGGAGATGCATAAATCCCCTCCTCCTTTTTTCCCAGACCCTCAGCCACATCCTTTACCTCCACACCCTGCTCCCAGTGCTTTAACTCCAGTTCCAGAGAATAGTGGATCAGAAAGGGTGGCGATAGTAAAGCACCGTAGACTTGCCCAAGGAGAGAAAGCTCTATCTCAGCATGTTGGATGTGTCGAACCAGAGGGCAGAAGGAAGCTGAGTTGTCCGGGAGGACCGAGCATGAGATGGAGAGAGAAGTGGGGAGCAGGTGAGGGTTCATCTAGGTGAACTTTTTAACCTTTGAGATGCTCCCTATGTGAGTTTCCATGTCAGGAAGTTGCAAGTCCCACAGCTTGCTGCTATGAGCTCTGTCAACTCTCAGAGATCTTAGGCTCAGATTCCCTGTGGTCCCCAGTTAAAATGTCCGTAAAGGAAGGGCCATTTCTCCATCAGAAATTTCCCTCTGTGTCCCCTTTCTCCAAAACACCTCTCCTTTTTCTGGCCAAGCCAGCTCTGCCTATTTCTATTAAATGCCCAGTGAGCATGGAGCTTGAGAGGGATGATGCTTTGTGTTTCTTTCTCCATTCTTCTCCTTTTTCCTGTTACTGCACTTTCAGGTCCATTATCTCATTTTTCTTGAGAAACTTATAGAGCAATTTGAAGGTGAGGAGGTTCCATCTATGAAATGCGGACAATCCCTTGGAGCTAGAAAGTTTACAGCCAAGACAAAGGCCAGCCAGAGATGCTGAGATGGGCAGTGGGCAGCCGCAGTGGGGCAGGGATTCTGGAGGAAAGAGGAAGACAGCAAAAAGCAAACTGCCAGATCTGTGTGGCCATCAGGTTTCTGCTTGGGTTGCTCTGTACAGATGGCCCGAGACCCCAAAGGAAACTTCCAAAAAGGAGTCCCTTGGCCTTTGTTCACTGGACAATAAATCCTTCAGCACCCTCCCTCCCATGACTCCCTGGTCCGCTCTATAATGCAGAGCCCCCTGAAGCAGCATTTACTGTTGGGATGAGAGGAAGAGAAGCATCTGGCAGGGAGGAGCTCATTTCCTCTCCACGGCCAGGCTGCTTCCTTAACACAGACCCGGGTGAAGGGTGGTACCTGGCAACCAAACTTCAGCAGGCTGTACTTTCTCATGGCGACACAATGGGAGGCTAACCTCCCAACCCCGGGCACACTTGGGATAGTGGTCCATAGTTATATCCTTCTTAGTCAGCAGTTTCTGTTGGTTTTACTGGGATCTTGAGAGCCCCTTAGAAATCACAGATGTCTCTGTTTTGATGGAGACAGACCCAGGATTCAAACAAAATTTGCGTGCTAAGTCTCCAGTCATGTCTGACTCTTTGCAATTCCATGGACTATAGCCCGCCAGGCTGCTCTGTCCATGGGATTTCACAGGCAAGAATATTGGAGTGGGTTCCCATTTCCTTCTCCAGAGGATCTTCCCAACTCAGGGATCGAACCCGCGTGTCCTGCATTGGCAGGCAGATTCTTTACCACTAGTGCCACCTGGGCAGTCCTTTCCAGAGCATTACTTGTAGGCTATTATACCAAAAAGAAAGAAAGAAAAGAAAACTTTGAAATAACCAATCAATTTGCACTCAGATTTTAGAAAGAATATAAATAAAGCAATTTATCTCATCTCTCTACCCAGTAAAAATTCTCAAATTAAAATATAGCCTAGCCTATGACAAATTAAATTACAGCACAGACCAAATATAGAAAGCTGCCAATATATTAATAGCATGGAGGACGCAGGATACAGGCCAAGCCAAGGGTATAACACCCTCTGTTAGATCCTCTGGAATAGGGACTTTCCTGGTGGTCCAGTGGTGAAGACTTCCCATTTCAATGCAGGGGATACAGGTTTGATCCCTGCTTGGGAAGCTAAGATTCCATGTTTCATGGCAAAAAACAAAAAAACCTGAAACATAAAAGAGGAACAATATTGTAACAAATTCGATTAGAAAAAGTTTTTTAATGGCCCACATTAAAAAAAAAAAATACCTCTAGAATTTTGAAGGTGGTGCCAACTCAGCCTCAGAGTCTAGAGATGTTAAGGACACGGTCAGAAATTCCTCGGTGGTCCAGTGATTAAAACTTGGCGCTCTCACTTCCGGAGCCCTAGGTTTGATATCTGGTCAGGAAGGTAAGATTCCACAAATCGTGCAGCAAAAAAAAAGGACATGGTCCCTGTGGGAAGCATGGAAATGCACCTCTCATGTCCCCAGCAACAGGAGCCTGACTGACGGGTCCCCCCAGATACCACCCTCTGAACTCCACCCCTGCTGACTCTGAGGCCTTCCGTCTCACCAGCAGTTTCCAGCAAATGGCAGGGACTCTCAGCAGGTCAACAACGATAAGACCCAGAATACCTCTGACAAGCCACTTCAGCTTGAACACTCCCCTGCAGTCTTGCAGAACTCTCCTAGAGCTTGAGTGCCGACCAAAATGCTTCCACCACCTTCCCTTGTTTCTTTCACCTTCACCCAGGGACAGACCGATACCACAGGCTGGGTGATCCCCCAGCTCCCCCAGGCCCCCAGCCCCTCCACATCTTCTTCCATCCTTCTTGGCATCTGCTTCTTTGAGGACACACCCAACACAAGTAGCCCCAGGAGTGATCCAAGAAGAGGAAGACGAGGGCTGGGGACTGGATCCCCCCACCACCATCCCTGTGGGTGGAGGAGGTACAGATGGTCTTTGGCTCGTGTTGCTAAAAATATCACCCATGGTGCCCTGGGAAGTATCCCAGGAGAGAGGAATGCTGTGGGATTTTTAAAATATGGGAAGGATAATGCCTACAGATTGTGCCATTTGCAGAGACATGGATGGATCTGGAGACTGTCATACAGAGAAATGTCATAAAGAGAAAACCAAACATATTAACACATATATGTGGCATTTTAAAAACTTGTTTAGATGAGCTTATTTACAAAGCAGAAATAGAGACATAGATGTAGAGAACGCATGTATGGACACCGAGGAGGGAAGTAGGGGCTGGAATGGATTGAGGTACTGGGACTGATATATATACACGACTATGAATGAAGTAGATTACCAATGAGAACTTGCTCTACAGCACAGGGAACTTTACCCAGTGCTCTGTGGTGACCTAAATGGAGAGGAAATCCCAAAAAGAGGGGATATGTGTAAACATACAGCTGATTCGTTTTGTCATACAGCAGAGACTAACACAATATTGTAAAGCCACTGTACTCCAATGAAAGTTAATTTAAAAAAGAAAAAGAAAGCAAAATAATACATGGGAAGAATAAACCTACAAAGCAGAGTTGGCTCATTACTGCTAAGTTAAGGTGCTGCCCTGAAAAGAGATGGAGACCATGGCCCCTAACACTTAACAGCTTCATGTGTGAGCTAGGGGGCCTTCACAGGAGCCCGCAGGGAGGCCCTTGTCCCCTGGAGTGGACAAACAGACCCAGTCATACGACAGACTCAGTGTCTAACTGTCGGAGTCACAGAGATCCAGAAACATTTAAATACTCAACCAGGGGGTCTCTGTTGCCAAAGGGAGAGGCCTGGCAAGCAAATGTGGGACCCTGTGAATATAGGGATTCCCTGAGGGAAGATATTGACCCCCCAGATTTCCTGTCCTTCCAGAGCCTTGGGCCTTTCAGACATGGCCCACCCTTCCCTGCAGAGAGCTGGCCCTTCAGTGATTGATGGTGCTTCAAGGCCCTCCTCCCACAACACAGCAGGTGTCCCCTTAGAAGTACACTTCATCCTCTCCTGGGTACTGGCACGGTAACTAGAGATTAGTTCAGCTCTGTGGCTCTGACGGTTCCACATTTTAGATATGCTAACATATCTAACAATATATGAAAGGCAAGAAACTGTCCCCTGGAATAAATGCAAGAATTAGACCTGTTTACCAGCAGATCCCAAGGGATTACCCCTGGGCTTGAGTTTAAAGGCGCTAGATCAAAGTAGTCAGGATGCTTGTAGGCTTAGTCACTTTAGTCATGTCCAACTCTTTGTCACCCCATGGACTGTAGCCCGCCAGGCTCCACTGTCCATGGGATGCTCCAGGCAAGAATACTGGAGTGGGTGGCCATGCCCTCCTCCAGGGGATCTTTCCAACCCAGGGATCAAACCCAGTCCTCTTTTGTCTCCTCCATTGACAGGTGCATTCATGTGACTACAAAAATGTTGAAGCGCTCTGCTACTCACCTGAAACAAATATAATATTATAAATCAACTATACCTCAATTTTTTTTAAAGAGGAAGAAAGGGATATTGGATCCTTGGTATGTTCATTTCAGGGCATAGGAGCAGACCAAAACAAAAACAAACAACCAAAAACAAAGTGGCCAGGATGTAAGGCTGGGTCAGCAAACACTCACTGACTTCAGGGCTCTCTGTTTGATTAATGGGCCTAACACCCCAGCAAGGGCCCCAGGGAAGGAGGCAAACAGCCGGTAGGGTGGGTCCTAAAGGGCAGGGAAAGCAAGGGCCACTCAGCAAGTGGAAATGCTCCAGCTGCTCTGGCAGCGAGGACAGGAAGGCAGCATGGGGCTTGGGGAGTGGGCGTGCTGGGGCTGACAACCCCGAGTGTGAGGCCAGAAGGCCAATTAAGGCATTACATTCATTCCTACGGAACACAAAGACAGTTCTTCCCCAGCCACCTATCGCTAAAATTAGAGGGGGCCGGGATTGCTGGATTTAGCACATGAAATGTGGGACTTCCGGTTAAATCTGATGTTGGGAAAGGAAGTCACAAAGTCTGGTTTCTTAACATCCACAGGAAAGACAGAACCCCCAAGAAGCAGAGGCACTGGGTTCTGC